CGTTTCGTCGGGTCAGTCCGGGGGTCATCCATTCCTGGACGCCCGGACTGTGATTGCTATTTTTTCAGGATCTTTCTGGGGTGCGCCCCTTTTCTTGGGTGAAAACCCCCGCTCTTACAGCCGAGTAAAAACAATTTTTCGCAGACACTTGGTCCCCTCGGATCTTCATGATCCCTTCTGGCGTGGCAAATTTTAATTTTTAGTGATAAGTGGAGTGCACCGCTCCTAGCGTATGCAACCATGCTCGTCCCATTATCACATTGTAGGGAGAGTTTGTATCGATCACGACAAACTCCGTATTGATGGTGAAGGGACCCGTGATAACTGGCAATGTGATTTTGCCTATGGGCAAGGCGAACGAGCCGTTAAATCCAACGAGGGGCGTCCTGACCTTGGTAAGGTCCTTGAGGCCAAAGCCCATCCGCTTTAATGTGTCTGAGTACATCACTTTCGAGGAACTCCCGGAGTCCACCAACACCCTCTTGACGTCGAACCTGCCTATCTTCAGGATTATGACCAGGGAGTCGTTATGGGGAGTCACCACGTCTGCTAAGTTCGCGTCGGAGAACGTGATGCCTGGCTTGCCAATCCTGGTCCTCTTGTTGGGTGGCCCCCCATCACTCTCTGTAGTCTTTCTCGTAAAGGCTACTCTCTTGAGGTCAAACTCAAGCTCCTTGGACGTCGGGCGATCCAGTGGACATACATGGATCACGTCTATGACATTGTCTTGCTCCATGGCGGGGGCAGGACCGCTTCTCTCTTCTGACTTAGGTTCATGTACTCTTTTAAGTAACCATCCTGGACCAGCCTTTCCAAGAAAGATTTGTATACTCTGCAATTTTTGGTGCAATGGCCGAAATCCGGTGATAAGAACACTTGACCTTTTGATCACGGGTGGAGGGATTGCTCTGCATCCTGGGCGGCTACTTGAAGAACGGCTCATGCTTGATCTTATGCAGCAACCTGTAGATGGGTTCCTTGAACATAGTGTGAACACCTTTGAATGACCCTCCCAGAGGGGGTACCAGCCCCTTTCGAGAAGTGTCTTTCCGCTCCCTTTCTTTTCTCTTAGGTGGGGGATTTCTGCCTTTGCTGCTCCTCATTTCATTCTCGATCCTAGAGTACTTGTTTATTCGAGCCATCAACTCGCCCATATCCGAGGGAGTCTTTTTAGTCAGGATCGGTACAAGTCTGTGTCCCTTGCCAAGCCAAGCCTGAAGGATGCCGCTGCCATGACTTCCGAACACCCCTCTACCTCATTAACCTCTTCCCAGTACCGGATGGCGTACTGGCGAAAGGTTTTGGATTCCCTCCACCTGAGCGTCAGTAATGATCCAATGTCTTTAGGCCGCTTACTCCCCGTAATGAATCGGGCTAGAAACTGCCTCATCAACTCCTTCTATGATCCAATGCTATTGGGGGAGAGCCTCGAACCACTTCATCGCGGAATCTCCCAAGCTCATGGAAAACACTCGGCAGAGGAGCTGTTGATCCGAATGATACAGGGACATCTTTTGCTTGTATTGTCTGAGGTGAGCTTCGGGATCTGATCGCCCATCGTAAGTTTTAAATCTTGGCACAACGAACTTCTTTGGTACCTCCATCTCTCGGATATCCCTGATAAAAGGTGATTGCATGGTCTCGTCTTCAGCATCATCCCGAACAGCCCTGCCCTTTCTCCTGGATTCCAACCGAGCTTTGAGATCAGTTTCCACCCAAAAGGGATGTCTTCTGAGGTTTCCAAGTTCACTGACAGGGCTCCCCTTCTTTGGGTATCGCGTGGAAAGGGTTGAATCCTCCTCGGACTTATCCCCCTTCCTCCACCTTGACAGTCCTCACCGGAGGTCGTCCAAGGCTAAAGGCCTTGCCTTCTTGGAATGATAATCGAGGGGGTGCTCATTGGCTATTGGGCGCTTCGGGGCCCTGGAGCCTTCAGCCTTGTTATTTAAATAATTCCTCAAGTCCTCAGTTTTCACTTCCCGGGCGGGGAGTCCACTAGAAAGGAACGAGTCCCTCGATCCTTCGCCGGAGGTGGCGAATTCGTTGAGCCGGCTTAGGACATTCACATTTTCTTTTTCCAATTGTCGTAGTCGATCCCCAAACTTTTCTTCGATCACCTCCGCCAGTTGACAAGCCAAGGGGGTGGATCCTCCTGACCTGATGCCCATGCTGGTTTGAGAAATAAGCCCCCTTGACTGAATAGAGACATTTCTGTCGTCATTAGCATGACCCCTCCCTCCATCATGACGTGGAGCTTGCAACTCGAGACTTCTTTGCTAGGGACATTTCCCTTTCTGTCAAGTATTCACCATGGTCACTGTTCTTTCTAGAGAAGAAACTAGGAAAACTAGTCGTTTCCCAAAGACGGCGCCAGATTGTGTGTGCAGGATCTTGCACAATATAAACACGAGAACAGATCTCTCCCATGGTGAACACGTATCCAAAATTGGGTGGGTGAGTTTGCTAGTTGAACAAGTTGTGGGGGTCGAAGGTGGATAATCAATCGTTGGTATGAGTCGTCTGAGTGATCTTGGAAAACTAAAGGGGGTTCCTGGAACAAAGAAAAACAGGTTAGAAGGGCACCGGAGTATGTTTCGGCATATTCCCTCTGACGATCAAGTCAGTTCTTTGAGAGAGGGGAAGAAGAGAACACTGTATGAAGGTTGAAGGTTTATTGCGTACCTCATCATGCGTTTTGCGATGAGTATTTATACCTTAAAAACTCATGATTGCTATCAGTATGGCCAGTAGGTGATCATTAGAGGTGGGTAACGTGCGCACTGGTTTTTAGGAGAAATGACACCTCTCTTAACTGCTCGGGACCCCGAGCAACCAATGCATCACCCTCGGTCTGTTGAGCGTTTAATGACCTTCACTCGGCAGTGATATATTAAATGCTCGGTCACAGAAACATTTATTGTCTTTCACTTCCGGGTCTTCACGCATTAAATGTTGTCTCATCAAGGGAAAGGTGCATTAAATACTTGTTTTCCCAAGTCGTGTGTCAGCAAGGGCATTCTGGTCTTTTTGCCTCTGATCTGACATAGTACGCCATGTGTCAGCTCCCCTTTGGTTGAGTCTTCTGCTTTCCTGTGCGTCCTGATACCATCTAGGTAAGACCAAGTCATGATGGCTAATCTAGCCTAGCCTAGGCTGATGACCTGTCTATCAATAGCCCTGCAGGAACCGGAACGCCAATATAGTGGGTACACATCGGTGCCGAGGGCCTAGTACGGGTAGGGGCCGATGTAACCACCCATTCGACCAAGGAATACATGTCGCATGTGCATACCAGCATCGTAGATCCTTATGCATAGTACCATCTCGGGGGCAATTGATGGGACATTTTTCGGACACCCCAAGATAGCGACACGTGTACTCGGTGTCAAGAAATACTCTCTGTCGTGATCACGACACGTGTTCGTCGGATCATGATCCCTCTTTCCCCGAGATGGTACTATGCATAAGGATCTACGACGCCGGTATGCACGGGCGACACATTTCTCGGTCGAATGGGTGGGTACATCGGCCCTTAACCGTACTAGGCCCTCAGCACCGATGTGTATCCACTAAATCGGTGTTCCTGTTCCTACAGGGCTATTGATAGACAGATCATCAGTCTGAGATATGCTAGATTAGCCATCATGACCTGGTCTTACCTAGATGGTATCAGGACACACAGAAAAGCAGAAAACTCAACCAAAGGGGAACTGACACGTGGCGTACTGTGTCAGATCAAAGGCAAAAAGACCAGAATGCCCTTGCTGACACACGACTTGGAAAAATAAGTATTTAATGCACCTTTCCCTTGATGAGACAGCATTTAATGCGTGAAAACCCAGAAGTGAAAGACAATGAATGTTCCTGTGATCGAGCATTTAATATATCCCTAACGAGTGAAGGTCATTAAACGCTCAATAGACCGAGGATGATGCATTGGTTGCTCGGGGTCCTGAGCAGTTAAGGAAGGTGTCATTTCTCCTAAAAACCAGTGTGCACGTTACCCACCTCTAATGATCACCTACTGGCCATACTGACAGCAATCATGAGTTTTTAAGGTATAAATACTCCTCACAAAACGCATGATGAGGTACGTAATAAACCCTCTCTCAACCTTCATACAGTGTTCTCTTCTTCCCCTCTCTCAAAGAACTGACTTGATCGTCGGAGGGGATACGCCAAAAAATACTCCGGCTCCCTTCTAACCTGTTTTTCTTTGTTCCAGGAACCCCCTTCAGTTTTCCAGGATCACTCAGGCGACTCATACCAACGATTGATTATCCACCTTCAACCCCCACAACCTGTTCAACTAGCAAACTCAACCACCCAATTTTGGATACGTGTTTACCACGGGAGAGATCTGTTCTCGTGTTTATATTATGCAAGATCCTGCACGCATAACACACATACTAGCACGCCAAAAAAACACACTAATACACCCACAAATACACATATGTACCAATACACAAACAAACACACACACACACACACACACACTTGTACACATAGACCGGACCGCGACCCCGACCCCGGTGTATTAGTGAGTGTGTGTGTGTGTGTGTGTGTTTTAGTGTATTAGTGTATGTATTTTTATTTTTATTTTTTGTGTCTTAGCATCTATTTTATTTGGTGTATTAGTATGTTTTTATATTAAAGATTTTAATTATTTTAGGCGTTAATGAGTTTAATTCAACCTATTACGATCGAACTTATTATAATCCATTTATTAATCGGGTTGAAAATAGATTGAATTTGTTTTACGCCCAACCCATTTTGAACCAACCCTTAACCAAATCAACCCGTCCATTAGACACCTCTAGTGTCACCCAACCACAATCTTAATTGATAGCCCTTTCATGTGTGAAGGCCATTCAAGGAAGTGAAAAGGATAGAAAGGACTCACCCTCTGGTTTGCTTCCTCAACCAAGTGATGGCAGACCTACAAATCAAACAAACACATCAAAAATGGGGGTTCAAAGGTCCTGCCTTTCGAGTTCAGAATGCTTGAAATATGCTTGAAATTTGTTTGCAAGGGCCTTGAATCCGAGGTATGTTTCAACTTCATATAAATTTACCTGTACATCAGCAATGTAGTTTGTTGGGTTAATAACATTTTTGGTCCTTAAAGTATATACATTTTGTCCATTTTATCCCTAAAATTAATATTTTTTTTATTTAATCTCTAAACTATTCAATTCGTATTTAAATCATTACCACACAAACAGACCGTTAATTTTTATTGGAATGATCACGTGTCGGTCACGTGATACCATATGAAAGAATGACACGCAGCCATTTTCGTCAAAAAACTTAACGGATTGTCTAATTAAGAACTAAATTTACATAAATTGAAATTTTGGGGACCAAATTAAAAAAATTAATACAATAAAGACCAAACTCATAGAACGGTCATACTTTAATGATTAAAAGTACTATTAACCCTAGTTTCTTTCTTAAATGGATTTGGTTGTCTATTTCAGACATCCACACTGGAGCAAGAAGCATATCCAGCTTTAGATAAATTATCCATCAGTGTCAGCATGCTTAACCTCCGGCGAGTCAGACTTATAAAGGGTCGTCTGGCAGCTTTGTTTGGCCGTGTCCAAAAGGTAACAGTGATAGCTTTGTTTCGAAATCTGGATATTGTAATTGATATGTATTTCATTAGCTGATAATGTTACTGAATATCGTGTATGAATATTGAATTATACCCTCATGATTTTTCAGATCCGAGATGAACTTGAACATTTGTTGAATGATGATATAGACATGGCTGAAATGTACCTAACTGACAAGATTGTTAATCAACAACTTGAAGAACTGGAACCACATGATGAAACTGAGAATGATGCAAATATAATAGATGATGACAGGTAAGTTTCTTAACATACTAACATTTCCTCATATTTGAGGTATACTATGATTTAAGGTTGTTTGGTTTGGAATTTCGCAATGATTATTAACTTGGTCAAATTTTTATTTTTTTTCCGATTATCATACACAAGGAGATACATACATATTTTGCTTTTTTGTATGCTTGTGACATTGAACATAATACCAGTGACGGAGACACGAGAAACAACAAAATCAGCTCGGCGATTCTGACGACTCAAAAGCCAAGGCTTGAAGAGTTGGAGATGTTATTAGAAGCATATTATGTCCAAATTGAGGGAACATTAAGCAGATTATCAACTGTAAGTTTCCATTTCCCATCTTATCTGAGGTTTTATGAACTAGGATATGTCAAATTCATCCTGTTAATTTGTTTTCCTCTAACAATTTTCAAAGGTTGCTCATTGTTGTAGCTCAAGTTTAGATTGGACAAACAAGCTTTGAGGCAAGCCCTATGAGTAGGCTTGGAAATTCTTAATATGATCATCTGCAATCCCTTATATGAGGTACTAGTTAGAGCCCTAGGGGTAACTTGAGAGGTAACAAGAATGAGTTCTTTAGCTCGAATCTTGACAACCCCTTAAAGTCAAACCATAAGGAATTTAATCTCCCATGAATACCTTAGACCCGGCGTGAGTGGCATGCCTTTGACCAGACCGGAGAGGAGATTAATCAAGGTACGCATAAGTTAACCCGAACACTCTTAACCTTTGAACCAAAAAAAAAAAAAAAAGAAAAAAAAGGTACTAATTAGGGGTTTGAGTCACAACCGAATTGACCAGTTAGACCTATTTACCAATTCGATAAAGAAAGAATCCAATCCTATACCACACAAACTCAACTATGCACAATTAATATACGCTATGAGTCAACATGACACTACCAATTGCCCAACCTTATTTTAGACGACAAAATTGTTAAGAGGGCACACAACCATCAAGGTGTGATGCTCTAACTCCCTTCCGGCTGCACGTTCCGTCATCGGCGAAGCCATTATTGGACTAATGCCAACCCTAAAAAATAAATAATATCAGGCCAATAAAAAGGGTTCGAGGGATCAATCGGGGTGGAACCCCTGTCTGGGTAACCCTCAAATTTTCTTTTTTCATAACATCACATATATATTTTTCTAAATAAAATTTAAAGTTATTTAATTGTGTCCACCTTATATTATTGTGTTGTTGTGATATTAATTAGGACAATTAATTTTAGATCAATGTTATTATAATAAAATTTGGAGACTTAATTTGATGATCTAATGCATTGTGACCTGTAGATTAAAAGTTGGTTTTTGTATTTAATGAAGTTAACTATCAATTCAATGGCCAAAATCCATCAGATCCGCAAATTAGACACAAGTACAAATAGTAATAATTTTAACTTTTAGACATGTGTCCGAATAAGTTTTTGACATATTGGAGCCAAATTGTATAGAATTGATATGTAAAAAAAATTGGTTCGTAAATGGAAGAATAAGACATGTGTTTTTTATGTGAAAATAATATTTTTTGGCAGCATAGATTTGAAACGCTGATAAATGCCAAGTCTTTCAAAGGATAAAAACTCTTCGGAGCCAACTGTAAATGACATTAATTAAACTTATTTTTGGTAAAAAATTATAATTAGTTTCTTTTCTTATGTTTTTTTATTTATACACATATTGTGTATATAAATTTTTAACCTTTTATGTTTAATTAACTTGTAAGTATCAAATATAACTTTAGTAAATATGAATGTATAAAGAAAAAAAGATTAAAATTTATTAATGTGTCCACCCTAAAATAATTTGCTCTCTCCGACCTAGTTGCCTTTCAACTCACCTCTTTCTAAGCTAGTGGTGTCCATGCATATCAACCCAAAATGTGACATTGTTTGCAACAAAATAGTAAGGGATCAATATGTTCTTTTGAACATGTATAGAATCACATTGTCCTTTTGCCTTTAACTTCCTATGGCTGAAAATGCTTTATTGCATCAGAAAGTAAGAATTATCAGTTTCAATCGAGTCTTACCATATCATGTTTGTCTGTATTGTTTATCTTTACGTAATCTTTCACGCTTCATTTCATGTTTTTTTTTTTTTGGGTTAATGTCTCCCTCTGATGATACAAAGATGCGAGAATACGTGGATGATACAGAGGACTACATCAACATCATTATGGATGACAAGCAGAACCAGTTGCTGCAATTTGGAGTTGTGATGAGCACAGCACTTGTGATGCTCGATGTAGCTGGTGTGATCGCAGGTTTGCTGAGCATGAACTTTGACATCCCTCTCTTTGCTGTTGGAATCCCTCGGCAATTTTATGAAGCCACTGCAGTAACAGTAGGTGGTTGTACATTCATATTTTTCATAGCCATTATGTGGTTCAAGCGAAAAGGATTGCTAGGATGATAGATAAAGGTGTTTGCGTGAGTCGATAAAAAGGGTAGTCATGTGCTCGAGATTTCCATTATTGCAGAGTTTGGGACATATGGATAGATATATATAGTCTTAACCACATCAATGTTTGCTGATCTGGTGGTTGATATGATTCGTGAACCGTAGATATTTGTTTCTTTTAACATGTAATATAATATTACATGAATTATTGTATAATTAAGTATTTGGTGTTTAGTTTTAATTACTAGATTGTGGATTAAATAATTTTCTAATTTCTAGGGACTTATGTGTGGTAGATTTGGTGCATTGAAAACGAGATTCTTATTTTGCGATTTGTAATTTACGAATAACACAAAATTGATGCCAACAATATTTTGAAGAACCTCGAAAACCATCTATAGGTATAGAGCATATTAGGACCACTGCCACTTCAGAATTGTTCTCATTAGAGGTGTCAAAATATGACACGATAACTTAACACGATACAAAATTAGAAGGTTTGGACCTTCCTTAAGCCACCCGTTTAGTAAACAAGTGAACCCAATACTACACGATTAATAAACGAATCGGATATGAGGGAAACCAATCACAAGAAATACACGACATGACTCGTTTATATACTAATTATACATGGTTAATATATTACACAATTCATTCGATACAAATTAATAAATAAATTGAGTATAGGTAGAGTATTTTTTAACACGAACCCACTAAAAACTCGATACAAACCCATATCACCCGACTTGATTAAGAGCCTAGTTCCTATCCCAGTAGATTCTGAAAAGCCGTTGATTGTACACTTATTTACTTGGTTTCAGTATACTGAATCAGCTGAACTTGGTTTTAGGATACATCTGACTTCACGTATGATCGCTCGAGTTTTTTTTCCCTAATCCCATGTCATTAGAAATTTGTTTGTCAAACTCGTGACTTAATCTTACATTTGAATTTGGATGTTTTATATATCTTCACCATAGATAAATCACGCTATCAACATACATCTATACTACTAATAAAAGTATTTTAGATGAAATTTTTTTGAATTCCTCTTCAACCTTTAAATAAAATTATAAGGGTAGTTATACCTCACACTAATATTTTGATCTAAATGCAAAGAACTTTTGAATTTATATTTTGTCCTTAAATAAATATATAAAGATACTTATGGATTAAATCATAAAAATTTGACCTTGTGTGTACCTTTAAAAAACTTACAAATTCAATGATTAGCAATATACAATTCATAAAAGTACACTGAAATATATATATATATATATATATATATATATATATATATATATATATATTGTAATTTTACCCCAACACAATTTAATAAGGTTCATATTATAATTAATTTTGTAAATGTGATTTAACAATAATATTGAGTCCATATTAACCTTGATTCAAAAGATTACTCTAACTGATATATTCATAATATAAAACTAATTTTTTTCGTTGGTCTAATATATTTTTAACTTATCGAACTTGTAAACCTTAAAAATTCTAGAAATAGTGCAAACAAGTCTCAAGAGTTCTTGAAAGTAAATACTAAGTTATAACCATGATTTATGAAAATTTATACAAACTCAAGTATTATAAAAATCTGATTTTTGAACTTTCTATCAGTTACTAATATCTTATATATTTAGATAAATCTAACAATGAATCTATAATTAAATTTTTTTTCACTAGAGATAAGTTAGCTCTAGGGAATTACACAAATATAAGTTTGAGCTAGTTTTTGTCACTTATAATTCCCAAAATTCTAATCTTCAAATAAATATTGCAGAAAAAACAAGTCTTTGTAGGTGAAACATGTACATCTTCTACCTATCGATTTGTATGAAACTTAAAGCTGCAGCTCGCTTTTGATCATGGTTGTATTTGCAATCAAATCTACATTTGAAAGCACGTTATGATAATTTACTAGATTATCTTATTATCTTGTGTTCTATTATAAAAAAATAATATCTTTTATCGTGATTTTATCAAATTTCTCTCTTGCAAAGTATGTATTATTGTGATTCATGCAACCAATAATTATTGACTCTTAGTATGTTCTCAAGAGAATTCTACCAAAACAAGTTCTGGAGAATGTATGCTATTTGGATTTGCACGCATACGGATCGAAAGCTATATATGTGGATATCTAAAAACTTATAGGGTGTTAAGTCATATAGTAACAATTTATCATATAATAAGAGAGAATCACAAGAGCACTTACATAGGCCTCTAATCAAGGTTGGAATCATAAATTTAAGCTGAGGAGCTCAAATAGTGGCATAGCTATGAATTTTATTTCACAAGATTATTCAATAAGTTGTCATTCATGTCAATTTTTTAAGTTGTATATAACTTATAGAAATTGATTTTCACACAAAGAATTAGAATATTACATCTATTTTTAATAAAATAAAATAAAATTAATATCAATTTATCAAACAATTAACAAATTATAGTTTATTTTCATCACATAATCACTCAAGTACAATTAAATTTCAACTCAATTTTATCATTTAGTGAAATTTTTCAACACAAAAATATCAAATAATCTAATAATTATAGCTCAATTTATGTATAATTTTTTCGATCATTTCAATTCAATCAAAAAATATAATGTCGATCCAAAAAAAAAGTAAAAAAGAATATACATTTACTTAATACGCCTTCGCCACTAGTCTACAACCTTTTGCACTATTCTTAGTGGTGGATAAATTACGTATATTTTTAATTATTTCTTAAAATTCCCAATATATAAGATTTTTTTGAAAAAAAAATTGAGGTGAGGCTCTGTCCCTTTTGGTCATGTAATGATTCTATTCATGCCTCTAAGAATAGGCAAACATAAGGAGAATGGATTGAATTCATTTATTGATAAAATATAGAAGATTGCCACGCATAAATGCTATTAGCAATTACCACTGTCTTAAGGCACTATATAACAAAAAATAAATAAATTATTAAGCAAACTGAAAATTCATTTGAAAAAATAAAACACCCACAATGCCTGAAGTGGGATGGCAATCAAACTGTATTGTGTTATTTCAAATTCATGTCAAAAATCCCTTAACCTTAACCTTGACACGAACGATTTAGTTAATCATGTCAAAATGACTTAATACAAATACAATTCGCTTGTAACACCAATAATTTGAGCATGACCCGAGTAACACATTTACTAAATAAATTGTATTCAGATTGACATGACTCGCTTTCAACCTGATCAACATGTTTAGTACATGGGTCACAATTGGGTTGTGACGACTCCTATAACATAATCAACATGATTAAGACGACATGTTTAACATGACGAAGTAACTTTAACCTATCAAACCCTAATAAATTCCTATTTTTAATACAAATCATTCATTCATCCACAATTTACATTTACAAAAATTATTAAATTAAAAGTAAAATATATGCTCAAAATCATCCCATCCAACATATGAAAGATGTCTGACCCAAAAAAAACAAATGACGACAGCAATTCAAGAAAACCACACTCCATACTCCCAAGTATCTTGCTTAGCACAACAAATCCAAGTAGTTAAACAAAAAGATAATCCCTAATAACATCACACCACAAATTAGTTCACAATCCCAACCAATATTGACATCTGGAATTCTAACTAAACTAATATTGGTAGTAATTAAATTTAATATATCACCAAAAGTGACGTCAAAGTTGTGGCACCACCAAAGAATAGAAGCCAAGACTTGTCCACCCAAAACCAATACTAAGTATAAACAAAAGGAAGGTTATAATATCAACACATGAAAGAGAGGGGGAATGGCTACAGTCTACGAAAATTAGTTTATAATTAGTTCAACCGAAGCAAAACCTCAGTGTGATGCTTTAAATAAATATATGGCAGATTAACAGCAATAATATTAGAATTTTATAAAAAAAATCTAAATTTCGAACTAATTAATGTGTGAAACCTACTCTTCCTTTCATTAGGAGAAAACCAACATTTCAACATCCACACCAACCTTTAGTTCTAACTCCAACCAAACATGTTCAATAACAACACAATATATATATATATATATATAGATATCAACGAAAACAGTACAAGAAATAGGAAAAACACTTAAAGTCTTGTGGTTTAAAATGTCTAACTACGGACCAGTATAATATTGTGGTAGACAATAAACACTTGGCCTTCCACATTAAGCTAACATGCTACTTTCAAAAATGACTATTACATGGATCCAAAAACAACTACAAATATATGTGGGTCAAGTAGTTTATGGTGGTGAATTAGATCGAGAGAGTCAGCTCAGGAAGGAAAAAGTGCAGTAGCTTCAGGGGCATGCAGAACATTGGTCGCAGAGCTCTCTGAAATGCGGTTTTCGACTCCTCACATCCTTGCATTTAAGGTATCCACATTCCCCCTCTTCTCCCAACCGAAAAAAAAGAGCCAAAAAAATGAATAGGCGCGAGAAAGAAAAAAAACCTGGTATCTCTTTTGCCATGGAAAGTTTTTATTTGTCTGAAAACAATCTTATGGGTCTTATCAGGCTCAACTCAGTTGATACCGGCACACAAAGATCCTCCATATTGTCTTTCTACCGTGGTTTGGCATCATTGCAAATGTTGATTGTTGTTTGCTTATTTACTTACATTAAAAATATGTATTATTGAAGGAGGCAAGATTTCCACAGCTTCGGACTTTAACTATGGAACAGAGAATGAAGCTGAACCATAAAAAAGACTTAATGAAGGAGGCGAGATTTCCACAACTTCAGACTTTGACTACTGAATCTATTACTGTACGTGTAACTTAATGAAATTTAATAGTACATGTAGAATTTATGATAAAAATGTTAGTTCATTGCGCTAACAACATGTCTGTGTGGGAAGAGTGAGCATTGTCATCATCAAAACAGGAAAAAAAAAAAAAAACAGAACATCCAAATGTCGTTGAGCCTGGTCGTCGTCGTCATCCCAAAAATAGAAAAAAAAAAAGTAGAACTTATATGTACATCCATCCAATAGAACATCT